ACATGAATATGCAATAAAGTACTAACAAGAATACAAAAGAATAAAATAACTAAAACGGTAATTCAGAAGAAACCAAACAGATACAGTACGGACGAGTTACGACGAGCACAATATACTCGGCAATCAAACTCTTGTACTCAAGGGCCATAAAGAGATTGAACGCATTCACTAACCGCTCGGTGACAGCGCTGCTCTATGTCAGACCACGGCCTTCTCTGTTAGAGAAGGCATTGGTCGGACATAGCAGGCAAAACATGGCTGCATTAGCATCATCTCTTGCCTTCAACCTTCAGGATGTTGATCAACGAATTTCCCGCCAAGGGAACTTTAGCAACAGAAAAAGACATTATGCGAATAACAGCAAAAAGCTACATCCGTTTTAAATCAAAACTACTCCAGTAAAAACTAATGTTATACAATGAAGATGATTTATGAGCTTTTTTTTCTGACACCTAACCGCCAATTGAATACAAATACGACACCGCATTTGATCACAGATTATCACTGCTAAAGTATCGACATAGCAAGTATGTGTACTTGATCACGACTAGGGCAGAGTACTTACTTTTGCTTATTAACAAAAAGAGTGCTCTTGGCGATACTGGAGTCGACTTTGGTCATGGAACGATACAGCGACCCACAACTCTAGGTTGTGACAGATTTCATCCAACCGACTAGAGAAGGAGGCGGTGGATTTGCGTTGCGACACATGAACCATTAGTGTGTTGCTTGACCCGTGTCGGAGCCCGGAAGCCAGTTCAAACATTTGGACACTTTACTGCGACTGTTGAGTAACCCAGAAACACGACAATATTGACAGGGCTCACAAATTGAAACCATGTTGAAGAGGTATGAATTGTATGTCAACAAGTTAACGGTAAACACATGGTTATTTCAGGGGTTTGATTATTTCCGCAGTTGGAGCACGCTCTCATGGTTATTTCAACAAAGTACCATGTACACGTGGTTATTTAAACATGTCACCATGTACACGTTGTTATTTCAACATGTTACCATGTACACGTTGTTATTTCAACATGTTACCATGTACACGTGGTTATTTCAACAGATTACCATGTACACTTGGTTATTTCAACAGATTACCATGTACACGTTGTTATTTCAACATGTTACCATGTACACGTTGTTATTTCAACATGTTACCATGTACACGTGGTTATTTCAACAGATTACCATGTACACTTGGTTATTTCAACAGATTACCGTGTACACGTGGTTATTTCAACAGATTACCATGTACACGTGGTTATTTCAACAGATTACCATGTACACTTGGTTATTTCAACATGTTACCATGTACACATAGTTATTTCAACATGTTACCGTGTACACGTGGTTATTTCAACAGATTACCATGTACACTTGGTTATTTCAAAAGATTACCATGTACACGTGGTTATTTCAACAGATTACCATGTACACGTGGTTATTTCAACATGTTACCATGTACACTTGGTTATTTCAACAGATTATCATGTACACGTGGTTATTTCAACAGAATACCATGTACACATTTGTTAACAGATTACCATGTACACGTGGTTATTTCAACATGTTACCATGTACACGTGGTTATTTCAACATGTTACCATGTACACCTGGTTATTTCCACATGCTACCATGTACACGCAGCTATTTTAACATATTACCATGTACACGTGGTTATTTCAACAGGTTAGCATGTACACGTGGTTATTTCAACATGTTACTATGTACACGTAGTTATTTGAACATGTTACAATGTACACGTGGTTATTTCAACAGATTACCATGTACACTTGGTTATTTCAGCAGATTATCATGTACATGTGGTTATTTCAACAGATTATCATGTACATGTGGTTATTTCAACAGATTATCATGTACATGTGGTTATTTCAACAGATTACCATGTACATGTGGTTATTTCAACAGATTATCATGTACATGTGGTTATTTCAACAGATTACCATGTACACGTGGTTATTTCAACATGTTACCATGTACACGTGGTTATTTCAACAGGTTAGCATGTACACGTGGTTATTTCAACATGTTACTATGTACACGTAGTTATTTGAACATGTTACAATGTACACGTGGTTATTTCAACAGATTACCATGTACACTTGGTTATTTCAGCAGATTATCATGTACATGTGGTTATTTCAACAGATTATCATGTACATGTGGTTATTTCAACAGATTATCATGTACATGTGGTTATTTCAACAGATTACCATGTACATGTGGTTATTTCAACAGATTATCATGTACATGTGGTTATTTCAACAGATTACCATGTACACGTGGTTATTTCAACATGTTACCATGTACACGTGGTTATTTCAGCAGCTTTGCCGTGTACAAATAGGTTTTTTTTTTTTTTGGGGGGGGGGGGGGGATTGAGGTTGAACGTGCTTACATTGTTATTTCAAAAGGTTAACCGTGTACGTAGAGTTATTTTAGCATGGTAATAATGAAATTATGGTAATTTCAGCTGTTTAGTTGGGTAGACGTAGATGATTCACCAGATTGATAAAGCAATCAGGGCCAGATTAACACACATAATCTTTATAACACACATCTGAAGATGATCCGTATGATACCGATTACGCGACCCATCTAGTGTTGACTAGTATATACAAAAATGGAACTGGCACTATTGCTGCGTGCTAAATTCACTGAGCTGGTCAGAGACGTTATCGCCTTCGTCAATCGTAGGGCACAGGGTGATGATGGTAACAGAGACGTGGGAAAAACGAGTCCAAGTAGCTTGAGATGAGAGACGAGTGCAAAGGTTCTCGAGGTGAACGAAGTTGTGGAAGACTTTTTCCTGGAGAGTCAAGACTAACAGTGGTTTGCACGCGCTAAGCAAGAACCAGGTGGGGTCCGGAGCGCTGCGCTAAGGGTTTGTCATGGGTGTTAATTTCAGTGCATCTCAACCAATCCGACCGTGGGGACGCATGTTCAGTTGTCTGTGAATTTATAGCAGTAATTATGTGTATCATTTTAGTTTAGTGAAGTTTATCTTGTGCATTAGAACTTTGGTGTATGAGTCGAAATGCTCCCGTGTGCGGATTTTGTGAAGACAAGGCGCGGAGGGCCCAACATCTTATTTGCCACAAGGCTGACAGAAGTCGAGCGATGATTGTAGCGAAGTTTCGAGGACGGCAGTGGGTCGTGTCTCTTGATGATTCTCGTAATAATTCTGACGCGACTGTGTGTCGACAGACTTGTTGCCTGGGGCCGAGTCCCTGGTCAGTTATCATGTATCGGTTATGGTGACCCAAAACGAGGGCACGCAACCGAGGAAAAGAATCTGTCTTGCGTGACGACGCAAGGAAGCGTAGGATCACCAGTGAAACAAGGCAGTAAGGAGTAGGTTGTGGACTCACGCCGAGTCGAGGCTGGGTGGTCCCTTTCACGTGACACCGCCTTGGTAGCATATGATAGTGTATAGGTGGAGCTTTCGATAGACATTTGTCCTGTATCACCAGATTTATTTTTCATCGTCATGTTGTGTTGCGTCGAAATAAACAGACGGAAGCACGAGTAAAGAAATTACTTTTCCCATGTTGTTGTTGTGGTTGGCTGCGGACTGTTCTCAGTGTTGTCGGTATGATAGGACTACGAGAACTGTGTTAACCTAGTATTTACAGGTAGGGGAAAACCCATCAGTCGCCAGGAGGTTGGCTTGGGAGAAATGTTCATGTAGGAGTGAGGCATAAGTAGTCGCATTTAGTCACTTGGTTAGGAAGCGGTACACACACTACATATCGCTACGCAACAACTATGTATCCATTAAGCCTGCAAACGTGGCAGCGGATCCCTGAAGTTTACCAGCAACAATGTTTGTGCTATAAGTTGAACATGTTCATCAAATATTTCCACCCAAATAAACCAGAATTTGCCATGACCTCTTAGCCTGGTTTATTTCTCTTTGTCACTTCCTGTTGCTCGCTGGACCAACTGCGCATGTTTGCCAGTGTCGTCTGGCTATTCTCTGTGCCTGGATATCCTACCAACTATATCTAAGCTGGGGCGTTTAGAAGACGAAATCACTGCTTTATGTTTTATGATACACTGAGATATCTGCCAGTGACTATCATTTTGGAGCAGGTTATCGCTGGGTCGTTGTTCTCTGTTAGTGAATGCTAATAAAGGCTTTTAGCTGCAACGTTCATTTTGGTTTACATGATTTCGCTGCTGGAAAGCTCATAGATTTGGCAGATTCTTTCATCTTATATTCTGTATATGTCTTCAGCATAGTTGTCACATAATATACGCAGCAGAAAAGACATATATGAGAACCAAGAAACAGATTATAGACAGCGTGTTCATACTAATACTGTGCTACCAGTGCCAGACTTGGACATTATCAAAGGCTAACCTACGTAAAATGTACACCTGTGAAATGAGATGCCGCCATTTTAACCATCCAATACACAATTAGAAATGAAATTATCAGACAGACTGTTGGAACAGCACCATGGAGCAAATTCATTGAGAAAGAGAAGGTCAGATGGTTTGATCATCATGTAGGAATGCAGCCAGAACAACTACCAAGGCAGACGCGACCCACGAACAGATCTGAAGTGAAATCAAGAGGCGCCCTAGCAGATACGGAATGATGCCATTAAGGAGCTTCTGCTTCGATCGGAATAACAATAGCCATTGCTGGCCATCAATGGATAGATCATAAACTGATCTTCCCCACAACGCTTAAAAACAGAAGTAAAAATTGAGGATGATGACAGACAGAGCAGCCAAACCTGGAAAGAATCATTCTGTTTGGAATCAGCAGAGGTTCTGGACGACTTTCTACCCGCAAACGGAAAACATTCACATTTATAATCAGCATGTAACTGTTACTATCATTACATGAACACTTCATTGGCTACTGAGAAGGAGAGGGAGCACGTATGGGAATGTCCTGAGTGATGTGATGTTGGTTCATTCATTGATTGTCACATACTGTCTACTCTGTCTCTCCCCAGTTTATCCAACATGAGCTACGGAAACTGGGATGGCTGGTTGAGGAGGACACGTTTAGGTCCCTCACACCCTTCGGAGGGGTGACCTTCAGCAACATCATCGCCACACTGTACCCTGCCGCAACCAAACGAGTGGTGATTGCATGTCACTACGACTCAAAGTATATGCCAGGTAGGATTCTAGTACCGCTATCACTGTCGTTACAAATTCAACAAATGTGAATCGTGATCATGTTCGCTATTATTTACCTTCATGTGTGTTGCTAGCCGGCTACATAAATCTAACCCCAGCTTCTATGGGTGTACCAATTATAACTCCATTAGAAGTTGAACCGAGTATCTGGGATTTGTTCTCTTTGCTTGTCATCCACAACGAGACTGTCATAATGTCAAGATGGTCAAACCTTGAGGTTGCAGCCCAGAGGGGAAACGGTGACACGAGGAGTGTGTTCTTTCATATCTATCCACACGTCTACGTCGTCTAAGTTCTGGAGTTAGTCCATTGAGATTGATAATTTTCTAGGTCATAATCTTATCTTCTTCTTCTTCTTCGATTCTTCTTTCAGAAAACTTATATCAGGAGGTCAGTAGCCTTTACGTAAGCTATCATGCAGTCCACATCTTCTCGTGTACCACACAGTTTTGTAGTTGCCACTTTTAAGGTAGGACCCACCATGATATGGTTTCAATGAAGTGTTAAAGATTAAATCCACAATCTACATTCCTGCTAGGGTTTTCTGACATTAAAGAAGCGATGCGTGCAGCCATGTTTGTGGTAACATATTCTCCCATACTATCTGTGCCTTTCGACCTGGCGTCTCCGTCTTCAACGTGCTTTTTTCCAGGATGTGCTTCCTTAGCCCATAACCAACCAAGCCTGACCACCGGGCAGTGGTAGTATCATTTCAGAGTATCCTTCTTATAGGTAGGCTGCTGTCCCCAGCTGACGGGCCCCATGATATCCAACACGATTTATCTTGGTCTACTCGTATCACTTCTGCAAAATCTTTCAGTCAGAGTCATTACCCTATTAACTGACGATTTTCTCCTCATGAATGAATTCACTGGCAGGTGCGGGGGAAAGATAAGTTTCACAAATAAGTATCCTAAAGCTCACTTGACACATCAGGGATCACTGGGCTAGATTTACGGAACTCCATTCAAGACTTCTGTCGTGAGTCCGCACCCTGCGGATATTTGGCTGTCACAGACATAAACAACCTGGCCGGGTTGGGGGGGGGGGGGGGGGGGGGGGGGTGTTCAAGTTGATGGCCCCTGGAGATGGGGGAATTGGAAAACACGTGAATAAACTTCTGACTGATCACTTCTCAATCAAACCAAGGGTAAGTGAGATCCATCGAATAAGTAATCTACTTATTTAACACATTAGTTCAAAAGAACAACATAGGGTGACGCAAATTAAAACTTCAATGTTAGCTTTAAATATCCATGGAAAGAGAATTCTGCTGACTTTCAAAAGGGTTATGGCCACTTGCCTTTTTTTTCTACAGAATATCGCGATTACAAACTATGATTTGTGAGACTGAATTCAAGGTCCGGTCTGTTGCTATTCTACAACACTGAATGTTGCCATGTGTCTGTATCTTCTCGATGTCCGTCATGTGTATCGCTGGACACTCGGTCCACTGGTGGGACAATCTCACGTGCTAAGGAAATCAATCGCTTATTGAGTAGATGTCATCAAAGTCCCAGATCTAAAGAAAGCATCATGTAGCCTGAAGATGCATTGGGTCAGCCTGATACTGAAATATTTGTTGCTTTTGCACTTCTTGGATGGTGGAGAATCTATATAATCTGCTGTCTTTTCCGGACACCTGATCTTTCTTGTCACTGTTTTCTGATGCTCTGCACAAGATGCCGAATAGGGGTGAAAACAATCTTCAGATGAAGGTCACAACACTGAGGCTGTGGAATGTCCCGAACAGCCGCACATCGAAAGGCGAGAATATTAAAACTGTCGTAAACGTGCACGAGCGTGCGCCAAAAACATATCTGACCAGTGAGAAAGCAGAAAACAATTCTGCATAGCGTGACTTGGTTTTAATAACGAAGTCGTGCACAGTTGCACACTAGCCGACCTTTCATTTGTGCTTGGAGTGGGGTGGGGGTGGGGGTAGGAGTGGCGGGAGGAGGGGGGGGGGTCTGCGTGGTCTCGAGGTATGGTGTCCGGCTCGAGTGCTAGAGGTTCCGGGTTCAATCCTTGGTAAGGGCTGGAATTTTTTTTCACATTGACTTCGACTTCTAGAAATTCGCCCTAGTATCTGGGTAGTAAGATCGGACGACTGTGTGCATTGCTGTGCACGTAAAAAATCTCTCGGCAGTTGGACATAAAAAAGAGTGGCCCGGGCAAAATTTGGAGTGAAAAATCTACCCAAAATATTTCACGATCCTAGCCGGAGGTACAGAGCCTGTGCTGAGTTTCTTTGGACTCAGACTTAAGTTAGAAGAAGAACAGAGCACTTATTGGTTACTATTCGTGTGCCATGATGCTGATCCGTTGTTAAAAACCTCAAAACTAATTCATGCTTTCTCAGGCTGGTCTACGTTAGAGGGGTATCACGATGTACTATTGTCTTCACAAAGCTTTCTGCCTTGCCTGTTAATCGTTGACGTGTAAGCAGCGGCAGCCGACATCACGTTTTCACCCGTAAGCAATCGTGCGTTGCTTCCACGGGTCGTACTCTGCACTCTCTTCTCAGAAATAGGCTGAAGTTGTGAGCTAGGGGGTTGGTGTTAAGGCCAGTTATAGATATCGCTTCGGTAACCGTTGATAGGACCAGACACGACACCCCTCTCACGTAGACCAGTGTGAGCAAGCATGAATGAAATGTCAGCTAGTGTGTAGCTGGGCCCGACCTCGTTACTAGAGCCCCGTGACTTGCCATTGACACATGGTTCAAACTTCCGGAGCTCATGGATTGTCAAACATCTCCAGATCTGAAGTGTATGCTTGGCCTGCCACACGCCACGCCAAATTTGTGTCAAACTCCCCACAAAGCGTGCACAAATCCTCTTTCCCCGTGCCTGATTTAACCCAACGTGCGCCAACACATCCTCCTTCAATCTTCAGTTAGCTTCGTTGATTACCCAGAATACTTTAGAAACAGAGGGACACGTGTTGGACGATTGTTTCTTTTGAACATACTGTGCTTTTTTTTTTTTTTAAATCCCCCTCTTATGTAAGAAAGTATTCGAGAAAGTTATTTTCTGTGTACTGTTGTCTTGCGGAAATACACTATCATCCATCAGTCCTAAAGTCAGTTAACTGATAAAACCAGTGATTATCTTCATAACATGCTGCCACCAACATTTTTGTCGCCTGTAATCTGCGAATATCGAACCATCATCACAATCGCGCTGTTTTATTCGATTAAATCTGAAAAGATTTGAAAAGATATGAAATGTTTTCTGTTTTGAAAAATCAAATCTTCATTATATCCTTAAAAGTAAAGTTGAGGCGTTCAGGCATATTAGGCTATACCTATATTTTACAGACCAATCGACACTTGTTGGCTGATATGGTCAACATGTAATGTGGCTATATCTCAGGCATTTTTGAGAATAATCAGCTGAGGGGAAACTGGATCGAATGCCTGGGAGAAGAAGAAACCTGGCTCAACTTAATAGACCGTGTTCAATGAACCAGTTTGCAAGTACGATGCTCTTTCACCAGTGTGTAACCGGTGTGATCATGTGGCCAGTCCTGCATGTCGTAAGAGACGAATAAGAACACGTTGGCTTTACTGACTAGCTTATGAAATAGAAAACTTTAGCTGCAAATATCTAACTATTCTAGTGAAAGATAGTCAATCAAATTAAGACCAAGGGCGGAGTAAAGCAGACTTCACCAACAATTCTTGGAATGTTTCTGTGTTGGAAACACTGTCACTGCAGCTTCCTGCCTGAAAATGTTGAACAGATACTTCAACCCGTATACAGCTGCCATAGAAACAATCTGGTCTCTTCCTACTTCAATCAAGACAACTATTTACGGTACACAGAAAAGTCCGAACTGCACGGTCTCTTTCGTCAAGGTTTCTAATCTCCTTTGTATGTTTTCTGACAGAAGGATCGAGGTAGAAGATGACTGACATGTCTAAAAAGGAATCCACGAATTCGCTTACGAAAGTTCGATTCCTTTTATGGTTACTATAGCTTTCGTTGTTTATGTTGCCAAGTGTGTTCTCTTATCTCTACTGCTTTCTTCTCCATCTGTCAGTGCCAATCAGTTCCTTAATTAATGTGTATATCATAATGTCTACAAAGGGCCAAACATGAGGTCTATACCAAACTGGACATTTATTTGTCGTCATTAGTCAAGGCTGCATCATTGTTGCACACAGATGGCCTCAAATCTGGATACATTCCGGTGCCAGGGGAATCATATCAAAAGTCTTTATTGTCCCAGCAACAGACTAGAGAAACCCTGATCAGTGTCAGCTAAATCTTGAAGCTTGCACACGCAAAGTAAAAATGCATAAGGCAGCTGGCAGATGTGCCAACAGCGTTTATTTTCTGGAAAGTGAGTGGCAGACGACAGCGAAGAAGGCTGAATGAAACCACAGTGTTGTGACAAAAATTGTCCGCATGATGTCTGCTGGATAAGAGTGCAATATTACAATACAGGAAAGTTTGCTGTTGTTTATGTGCGTTCCTGTGTGCATCTGTAAGTGAGTGTCTGTCTCTCTCCTCTCTTTCTCTATGTATCTGTATGTGCAGCTGTGTGTGTGTGTGTGTGTGTGTGTGTGTGTGTGTGTGCCTCTTTATGTCCTATCTGTGTGTGTGTCTTTGCGCCTGTGTGTGTTGTGTATGTGTACCTGTGTGTATGTGTGTGTGTGTGTGTGTGTGTGTGTGTGTGTGTAAAAACATGACTGCGAAAACATAAAAAAATTATAGAAAAGGCGGACAGGCCAAATTACATTCAAATATCAGTACAGAAAGGGATATATCACCACTGATGCCAAACTGGCAGCTGATCTGATCTGACCTGACAAGAAAATAGCAGCGCAGACAGTTGAACGTGATCACACAGACAAAATAATTGGTGAGTTTATCCGGGGGCTGTGTCTTCCTCAGGGCGGCTGCGTTTTCTGGGAGCCAGCGACTCGGCAGTGCCTTGCTCCATCATGATGGACACAGCCAGATACCTCAGCGGCTTGACCATGAGTGGACTCGACATGCAGGCTCGGGTGAGTATCTGTCTGCATGTCTAACTATCTATCAATCTATCCGTCTATTGATCTGTCAGTCCGTCTGTCCATAAGCCCGTCTGTCACAAACATCTCTACCCGCCTTTCTGTTGGCATGACTGCTTGCCTAATGTCACAGGAGTTTAATTTTCTGTCTGTCTGTCTGTCTGTCTGTCTGTCTGTCTGTCTGTCTGTCTGTCTGTCTGTCTGTCTGTCTGTCTGTCTGTCTGTCTGTCTGTCTGTCTGTCTGTCTGTCTGTCTGTCTGTCTGTCTGTCTGTCTGTCTGTCTGTCTGTCTGTCTGTCTGTCTGTCTGTCTGTCTGTCTGTCTGTCTGTCTGTCTGTCTGTCTGTCTGTCTGTCTGTCTGTCTGTCTGTCTGTCTGTCTGTCTGTCTGTCTGTCTGTCTGTCTGTCTGTCTGTCTGTCTGTCTTTCTTTCTTTCATCCCGCTTACAGCTGTAACCGTGAACACCTCATGCAGTTCAACCCTGCAGTTTAACACCAGGCTTTCATGATGTCGCTCCAGCAGAGACGGTACCCTACCCTATCACATGCCAGTACTACCCAGTGAGTACATCTGGAAAAAAACAAAAAAACATCAGCAACAAGAAATAATATCTCTTTATACAAAACGTTATCTCGCCCAGCCGTATTCAGTGGCTACAAACGATGGACTCAGAATAGGTTATTTGAATATTTAACTATTTAACCTAACATTTACTAGGCGAACTACCTCAGCTGCCAGTTAGACTTAACAACTAATTTTGTATGTTTGAAATTACCGAAAGTCGGCTAAGCAATAAAATTACTAAGAAAAAAAATTAAAATTATGGTATTTAGTGTTAATCGTAAAGATGCAGGAGAAAATTAAAAACGGGTATAACCGTGTACATCTTAAATTATCTCAATTATTCCCATAGAACTGATTTAGAATCGTTAGAAGTAGAGCGTGTCTGGCTGGAAGTCAAACCGTCAAACAGGCAATCACTTGTCATTGGTTACCTCTATTGAAATCGTTCTGCCGTTAACAGTTGGTATAAGGGACTTTACTTCTATGCTGGATAGAGTTTTTAGCCTAGGAAGAGAAATTATTCTTCTAGGATATTTCAACATTGATGCAAGGAAACCAAACCAAACATGGCAAGATATCATCTTATCCTATAACGTTTAACAATTAATCAACCGCCCCTCGAGAGTGACAGAAACCTCCACAACTATACACGATCACATCTAAGTGTCTTGTCCAACAAATATTATTGAATGTACTGTCCCTGATAGTGTAGTCAGCAAGTACTGTCCCATTTGCACTAACAAGTTAAAAAAGGGATCCAAAGCTCCTAAATGTAAGCATTTGGCTATTACATTTAGAATTTTTTAAACTTTAATCAGGAGAAACCATATGTATATATGATGTGTGTATGCATGTTTTTCATTAAGTATATTTTGAAATCTTCGTAATGTCGGGGTGCCGGGTTCGATTCCAGCTGCTGGCCTTACGCCTTGTGTTGGTTTCGACAGTGGTATCAGGGAGCCGACCGTAGAGAAAGCAATGGCAAACTACTGTACGTAAATTTCCCTAGAGAAACCACACAACAGTTGGGGGCTGCTGGGGTTGGTTCTGCAACGCCTTGTGAATGATACGCAACTAACATATTTTGAAATAGATATAACATGCATTACTGATAATATGCAATTTCGGTCTAAAAATAAGTGATTGGAACAGTTTATAACCCTTTGAAAAAAAGTTCTTTCTTTCTTTATTTGTTTTCTTCTTTCTTTCTTTCTTTCTTTCTTTCTTTCTTTCTTTCTTTCTTTCTTTCTTTCTTTCTTTCCTTCTTTCCTTCTTTCCTTCTTTCCTTCTTTCTTTCCTTCTTTCTTTCCTTCTTTCTTTCCTTCTTTCTTTCCTTCTTTCCTTCTTTCCTTCTTTCCTTCTTTCCTTCTTTCTTTCCTTCTTTCCTTCCTTCCTTCCTTCCTTCCTTCCTTCCTTCCTTCCTTCCTTCCTTCCTTCCTTCCTTCCTTCCTTCCTTCCTTCCTTCCTTCCTTCCTTCCTTCCTTCCTTCCTTCCTTCCTTCCTTCCTTCCTTCCTTCCTTCCTTCCTTCCTTCCTTCCTTCCTTCCTTCCTTCCTTCCTTCCTGTCTGTCTGTCTGTCTGTCTGTCTGTCTGTCTGTCTGTCTGTCTGTCTGTCTGTCTGTCTGTCTGTCTGTCTGTCTGTCTGTCTGTCTGTCTGTCTTTCCTTCCTTCTTTCCTTCCTTCTTTCCTTCCTCCCTTCTTTCCTTCCTCCCTTCTTTCCTTCCTCCCTTCTTTCCTTCCTTCCTGCTTTCCTTCCTTCCTGCTTTCCTTCCTTCCTGCTTTCCTTCCTTCCTTCTTTCCTTCCTTCCTTCTTTCTTTCTTTCTTTCTTTCTTTCTTTCTTTCTTTCTTTCTTTCTTTCTTTCTTTCTTTCTTTCTTTCTTTCTTTCTTTCTTTCTTTCTTTCTTTCTTTCTTTCTTTCTTTCTTTTCTTTCTTTCTTTCTTTCTCTTCTTTCTTTCTCTTTCTTTCTCTTTCTTTCTTTCTCTTTCCTTCCTCTTCTTTCTCTTTCTTTCTCTTTCTTCTCTTTCTTTCTTTCTCTTTCTTTCTTTTCTTTCTTCTCTTTCTTTCTTTCTTTCTTTCTTTCTTTCTTTTCTTTCTTTTCTTTCTTTCTTTCTTTCTTTCTTTCTTTCTTTCTTTCTTTCTTTCTTTCTTTCTTTCTTTCTTTTTTTCCTTTTTTCCTTTTTTCCTTTTTTCCTTTTTTCCTTTTTTCCTTTTTTCCTTCTTTCCTTCTTTCCTTTCATTTTTTTTTCTTTATTTCTTTCTTACTTTCTAAGTATATGCCGGTTTCTCTATGTGTACAACTGTCTGCGTATCTGTAGGCCAGCTTAATCCATATGTCCTTCTTCCTTCTGTATCATCCTTAATATTTTAATTGTTCTGTCTTCCTGATCCACTTTGGTCACCACGTCATTGCTGTTTTGTTTTAAAGTTTATAACAAGAAAAACTAACTCTCCCAAAAATGACACTGAAAGCTTCTGATCTCCCTTGGTAAATCCAGCTATTGATCGTTTGGCCGCAATCTAATTGCTTCTGTAAATTACCTCACCAATGATTCTTTGTTTTGGGTGGAATTTTCAGTGATTAACTCAAGTCTTGTGTAAACTTGCCCTCCCCTGTCGTCACATTTATAGCGATATGAATGATGCCTGTTGGGAAGGGCAGACTTACAGCCAGAAAAATAGTGGATGTTATTAAAAGCAGACTTACAGGCAGACAAAGAGCTAAAGGTATAGAGAATAGATAACCAGACTAAAGGCCATTTTTAGAGAACATTTAAAGACAGAAGATGATGAATGTTAAGAGAAAAAATAAACGAATGTAAGAGAAAATGTACAGTCACACAGTCACACAGATTACCAATGTTGGAGAGAACAGATATGCAACAAGACAAACGGCGAATGTTGGAGTAAGTAAGTAAATATTACCCCACAAGGACATCACACAGAGCGATAAACACCAGGTGACACAAAGTGCCACCAGGCGGATGAGGATCACCTGTAGAGAAGTTCCGGAAACCGCGTTCAACCATAAATTATATTAAGGCCCCGGTGTGGGGCTTCGAAAAAAAAAAAAAAAACGAAAAATTGCATCTCATAAGAAAGGGGGGGGGGGAGGGGGTGGTGACGAGTTAATTAATTCTGGCGAATGTTGGAGAGAATTTACAGCTGGATATAGGACGAATGTCTGAGACAATTTACAGCCGGATATAGGACGAATGTTGGAGACAATTTACAGCCGGATATAGGACAAATGTTGGAGACAATTTACAGCTGGATATAGGACGTATGTTTGAGACAATTTACAGCTGGATATAGGACGAATGTCTGAGACAATTTACAGCCGGATATAGGACGCATGTTAGAGACAATTTACAGCCGCATATAGGACGAATGTCTGAGACAATTTACAGCCGCATATAGGACGAATGTCTGAGACAATTTACAGCCGGATATAGGACGCATGTTAGAGACAATTTACAGCCGCATATAGGACGAATGTCTGAGACAATTTACAGCCGGATATAGGACGAATGTCTGAGACAATTTACAGCCGCATATAGGACGAATGTTGGAGACAATTTTAGCCGGATAAAGGACGAATGCTGGAGACAATTTACAGCCGGATATAGGACGAATGTTGGAGACAATTTACAGCCGGATAAAGGACGAATGTTGGAGACAATTTACGGCCGGATAAAGGACGAATGTCTGAGACAATTTACAGCCGGATATAGGACAAATGTTGGAGACAATTTACAGCTGGATATAGGACGAATGTCTGAGACAATTTACAGCTGGATATAGGACGAATGTCTGAGACAATTTACAGCTGGATATAGGACGTATGTTGGAGACAATTTACAGCCGGATATAGGATGAATGTCTGAGACAATTTACAGCTGGATATAGGACGAATGTTGGAGACAATTTACAGCCTGAAATAGGACGAATGTCTGAGACAATTTACAGCCGGATATAGGACGAATGTCTTAGACAATTTACAGCTGGATAAAGGACGAATGTTGGAGACAATTTACAGCCGGATATAGGACGAATGTTGGAGACAATTTACAGCCGGATATAGGACGAATGTCTGAGACAATTTACAGCCGGATATGGGAGGAATGTTGGAGACAATTTACAGCCGGATATGGACGAATGTTGGAGACAATTTACAGCCGGATATAGGACGAATGTTGGAGACAATTTACAGCCGGATATAGGACAAATGTCTGAGACAATTTACAGCCGGATATAGGACGAATGTCTTAGACAATTTACAGCTGGATAAAGGACGAATGTTGGAGACAATTTACAGCCGGATATAGGACGAATGTCTGAGACAATTTACAGCCGGATATAGGACGAATGTTGGAGACAATTTACAGCCGGATATAGGACGAATGTTGGAGACAATTTACAGCTGGATATGGA